AGATGATAGATGAAAAAGCAACTGACATATTTAATTCAGATTTTTAAACACAGCTCATATTGCATGGTGGTTTTGTTCAATTCCACAAGTCTAGGAACTGACCTCATCCTAAAGCTTAAACAGCTATTTCGTCCTTACAAAATATACATCACCTGAAAGGAATAAAACCCATTTCTAGTTCTTCAAAACAATGTCTGTATATCATGACATTTTACATTTTCCCCATTCATTAGCACTGTCTCTCCTTACAAGCCATATTGGTAGAAGGAGCTGAAACGTTATAATGTTTGCTCATATGAAGAAGCTCTGTTAATAAGATAGCTTTCACTTTTGGATTTTGCTGTTAATACATAATTCTTTTGACACTTACATCTTCGTTAGAAGTACTGCAGAAAAAGATTTCTTCTCTCCCATGTGATTAATTACACTACTGTCCCCATACATTTTCTTTTTTGTGGTTCTGTTTCTTACATAGACTCTGCTATATTATACAGGTACATTCTTGCTGTTTTTAAGCATGAGACTTAAAATATATTTTCATTTAAGTAATCACTAGTAGAAATTATGAGAATGGATTAAGAAAGAATAAGAACTCTACTAAAAATGATGTTATTTAATACAGTTCCAGTCATGAAAAAATTCACATGGACTAAGATACCATCAGAACTGGCAGAATAGAGACAGAAGAGGAAAATTAATGGAAGATTACAAAACTTCTTGCCAGGATAATAAAGGATGGAGTTTCCTAAACTAAAGCCAGCACAATTCAAGAGTGGAGAATGCTAAAGTAAAAGCGGTTTCACCCCAAGCAGAGTAAGATGTAAACCATTAGAAGGAAAAACAGCAGTTAGAAGTAAGGATGAAAATCTATCAAGTACTGAATGCTAACACCCTACAGAAATTTTCTAGCCTTGTAGAAAACTAAGCAGCAACTATTGCTGCTTATAAGTATTACCTGGGCCAACCACAGGTGAACAAGAGCAAAGTTAACAATGACAACTCACGTTAAATGTAAAAAAAAAAGAACACAAGAATTTTGCTTTTCAGAATCAACTGTGTCATCCACTAACTATACACAATTTCATGGTATTTATACTAATCCTAAAATAAAAATTAATATATTTTCATGGTATTTATACAAATCCTAAAATAAGAATTAATATATATATAATTTAGTGTAATGTAACAAACATTAGTACCAAATTTTCCACTTTTTTTTTTTTTTTTGAGCATATCATTGGGTCAATATTCCCCAGATTCCAGCTGATAGCAACTGTAAGATTTGCCTGATAAAGACACAAAAATGGAACTGATTCCCACATCAGCCTTTCATCATGCAGTTTCTCTGACTTTGTAGCTGATGCTGAACAAGAGAGAACATTTCCAATTATGATGCTTCTGTTACATAATTAACTTGGAATTGGGTATCTCTTAGAAGGAGTTTGATTGCAAAATATACAATATGATAAACTAGTCTGAAGTACTCTAGTACTGCCTCTTCCATCTTTACAGAATGCCCTTATCCTTACAACTGGTAAACTTTTTAGAAGTAATTCTATCAATTCTACTTTCTTCTCTATAGGGAAAGGCGTAGGTAGATGGAGTACCAATGCTAAATGGGCAGACATGCCCATGAACATTTAAGCCAAAACCTGCAGATTTCACTGAGCCCTGTTCCACACACTATTTCTCTAATGCTTCACTGTATATTGTAGAATGTAATTAGCATCCATAAACAATTGAAATTTTACTCAAAATTTGGCAGTTTACAAACATAAAAAAATAAAAAATAAAAAGAATCAATCCTAGTCTCCAATGAAGGATCAGACCGGAGAACATCACTTTAGTTGAAAAGGGAGGGATTATAGAAGAACCAGGCTGAAGCTTGGAATAGCACTGAGGAAGAGACACTTTGCTCACTCTGCCTGTTCTCCAGTGGACAGGGTGAAACTGGTGCTTACAAAAAATCCTTGCTCTTGCAGCACATCGAACCTTCAAGAATTACAGCACAGTCTGCACTACAACTTGCCACCTTACAAAGAGACATAACTGAAATGGCACATCTGAATTTTGTGAATTTGACAAGGCCAGTTATACAAGGCCAAACTGTATTCCTTCAGGCAGTAACATAATGAAATCAAAATTAAGATATATCCTTTTTGTCTTGCCATGCAAGACAAAGAACTCTTTACAGTAGCAATATAGAATAATACATTTCTATCTTATTACACACAGAGAGAAATGAGTGCATGCCAAGCAAGTATGGGCCATCTGTACCCCAAAAGTACATGGAAAAATTCATGTATAAGAACATTTTATTTATATTGTTTCAATTTTAAACAAAATTCCAACAGTATTACTAATAGTAAACTAAAACCTTTCTCTAACCCAGAAGAAAAAGATGTTTGTTTTTGTGACATTAACAGTACACATTAAAAAGTCCACTGTCACTGATGAGTCACATTTTGCTCATGTCTAATATTTAAAACATCTTTTAAAGAGCATTGTGACCATTTTTTGTAGAAAAATTCAAGTCTTTCTACTGACCAGAAATATGTAACAGCACTGATTTCTTGTCTATTTAACCCTGACAGCTGTGAGTTAGACTACTTCTGTGATCAAATCCTATCTGATCAAGTTTTATAACAGGTCAATCACCAGGCTTCAAAAGTAGGAATCCTGAAATTTCAGTAGACATCCCAAGAATTGATTAGATGCTGCACGCAGTGTAACGTTTCTTGTTGTTTTGATTAGATACGTGTAGAAACACCCCAACCTAACCTCTATGTAAGCAAAACCATCAGGATATGGATAAAACCTGACACATGACACAAGCATGTTCCTTACTTTATATATTTAATACTTTATTTATAGTTACATTTCATTCTTTATTATATATTTTTTACTGTTTTCCCAAGAATATTTTTTAAATACCTGAAGGCTAGAGCTTTTGCTACTTCATCAGACCCTTGTAGAACCTTAAAGCACCACTTCCAGGAATATATTTCCCTTTCTACTTAGTTTCTTGGTTTCATTTGCTGCACTCACATGGAAACACATCTTTCTTTTCATTTATGCCTCTCAGACAGTTGTTGTCTGCACTGTGTGCACCCGTGTAAGTAAACCTACTTAGGAAGAACAAATGTTGCATTGGTGCTGTCTTTTATGTCAGGTAACAAAATGAATGCATATCTTGAAACTTAACATTGCAGATGCACAACAGTCCTCAATCAACAGAATTGTGACACTGTGGAACTTCTTTTTTTATTTTATTTCAAGCGACAGGAATTACATTAATAATTAAATGTTGTAATGGAACCCCATCATAATTTCCCATAATAATTCATAACAATAGCAAATAGAGATGATAATATAACTATTTAATTGACATAATTCTACAGTGTTCTTAGGCTTTCTTAATGCTAACTCTAACTGGAACCCAGTTGAGAAGTAACATCAATGAAACACAAAAAATCTATCCCTGGCTACCAAGAACACTGTGTATTTTCAATGTGGCCACATGAAATAATATTTAATACACTTCTGGCACTAAACATGGTGTTCTGATAACAAGAACATCAGTAAAAACAAGTGCATACTTCCAAGCACTACTTCACAATTTTTGGAAAGGATAAAAACAATTGCACTTACAATAGAAGCAAGACATTTTTGGATACTGAAGGAGAAGTATTGTAAAACCTGTACTTTGCCTATAGCAAAATGAATTACAGCTTGAAGTGTGTATGCATGAATGTATGTATAAACAACACTGTACATGCTAATGTGACGTAGATTTAATTCATTAGAGAAAGCCATGGCACAGTTTGACAATGCATATGTACCAGCTTTGCCAGAATGTTCTTTTAAATAAAAAACAATTCATTATTCTCCTCAAATGATTTAAATTTCAGTTTGGACCTTCGTATGGACTTATCACAGACAGAACAGCAATATGCCTTGTTAAACAGCAAAACTTTTACCAGTCTAGGATTTCTATTAAAAAAAATCCAGCAAACAGAAAACTCTAAACTGTGTAGCAATATGCTACAAAGCAGGAAGGCCAAGGGAAAAAAGATGCAGCAGGATTTGATAGGATTTATTCCCAAAATAGGGAAAGAGGAACATTAGTTTCATTTAACTGTAGAGTGAGAATCCCTCCAAAAGATTATAAAGGGAAATTTGAAGGAGGTTAAAAAATGTTACTCATTTTTCTTAATTTGAGAATATTCATATAGATCATTGCTCCTATGCAGCTCCATCTCAGGTATAACATACTCATACTCAAGGATGAAATACTGAAAGCCTCTGGAGAAACTGAAAAATGCTTCAGAAAGTTTCACTTTGACTCAAATTCCAAATAAAACATGTAAACTGTTAATTTTAACTAGCCACTATAAAGTTTGTCTACAGATCTTATGCTCTGAAAAACACATCAGTTTGTGTTTAGTATGAATAACTTAGTTTTATACCAAAATAAGTACTTCTGCCAAACAATTGTATCTAATGGGACATACCAAAGGGGACCATCACTGAACCTGAGGATTAGATCTGGGAAAAACAAAATTCTTTTTCTATTATGCATTAACAGCTGGCTTTTGCAAGCAACAGTCAGGTTACTTTATTTTTTCAGTTCAGGTCTGGAACATTAAAAAATCGTCATGCTACTTATATCTGGGGTCTCACAACTTCTGAAAGTATAATTCCAGTTAAATAGTAAGTAGGAGACTATTTCATTACACAGAAGATTTCAGTGAACTTTTTGTGAGAGAAATTGTGCAAGATCTCAGTACTTCTACTGAAACTTAGAAGCATATAGAAGAAATTATTCTACATAAAATGCAGCTTGCCTTCTTGATTATGAGATAAAAACATGACTAATCTTATTTCAGCACCCATGATACTAAGCATGCACCTCTCATTTTTACTTTCTTCCATTTATCAATGTACATAAAAACATAAAACACCAGGAATACTTTTTAATGAAGTTACTGAGAACTTACCCTATAGAAAGCAGTTGTCAGGGGTAGCAAGGCTGCAGCAACACTATATTCTTCTGATGACGAGCAATCCTTCAAGAGAAACATATGAAGAAAATAAGCAAATCATTTTCAATTTTATGTCTAGCATAATTCCATTTCAGCCTTATGTAGTCCCTCTACCTTTCTTAGATGTAATGCATATTTTAATCACTTGGTACAATATAAGACAAACAGATGGGTGGGTGTGTGTACACATACATATTGTGCCTCAATTTCTTCTAGATGGCTATTGCCAAGATTTTTCAAATTTAAGGAATTTATTAGCAGTGTTCTCCGTTCCTATGCCCAAAAGACAAGTCCACCAACAAAATTTACATATAACCATATTATTCATTCAGAAAACAATACAAACGTAGCTTGCTTCCATTCTGGTCCACAGAAAATCTGTACATTTTGTAAAACAGAAGTGATGTGACAACCAAAGAATGTACTTCCAAAACGTGTGTACGAAGAAAGGAACATTTATTTAATATGAAACAATCACCTCTGCAGACTCTACAGGAGCTTGGCATAACATAAACTTTAAAAGAACACAATCTCAGAATGCCTCATTCCACAGCCAAGTGTGTCATTCGTGCCACTCTAGGCTGAAAGTGGCATGCCAAAGTAAATCAGCTAGTAATCACACTGATAAAAACAGTGATCTTATTAAGGAAGTCTTTTAAGAAACTAGATTTGGAATGTAACCTAATATTTTGAAAAACAAACTACTTGATTTTTTAAGACTTTAAAAACAGAACAAAAATATTCAATAAGTTAAAAAAAATATACTACTTTTTCTTTTTTTTTCTTTACTAATTTTTTTTTTTTTTTTAAATTAACTCTTTTTGCCAACCCTGAGAAACACAACAACACACATACTTTTACTTCACAAATGTAGCACCACTGTGCCCCTGAATGATGAATGGGAAAACAACATTTCCATTTGAACAACTCATGTCAATACCCTTCAACACAAATTACTCTTCTATTAGTTCTATGTAACACCTGATAAAATCACAAAATTGAAATATCACACTGTCAGTGGTTTACGGGCTGGTTCGGCCCAGTTCCATGACTAGCGGGGCGGAGGGATCCGCAGATCCGCGCCTCCGGAAAAAGGGAACAGGGGACCCCAAAATAATTAAAAACTGCGGCAACGATCTGAGGAGAAACAAACTAATTTACTAAACATACTATCAGAATGCAAGATAACGCACTATAATACAATATAATTAAATTTGAAGCTAATAAATCAAATATAATGAGAGAGAGAATGTCCGAAAGGTGGGTAGGCCTCACCACAACGCGGCGGGCTGAGGTGAGATGCACAGTTCAGTTGAGCAGCAGGGAGAAAAGGGAGGTTAAACTCCCAGTGCCCCACATGATGTCATGATGTGGAATACCAAAAACCAAAAATCACAAAACCATGACACACACATGTTCTTCTGTCCGAGTTTTCATTTATGCCTTCATCTCACCATATTCGCTCCCTGGAGTTCTTTAAAAAGAAAAACTTGGCAACTCTGATAGCAGAAATATAAAATACACGTTGTAGGAACAATCATAAGTGGTTGGTGACCCTGCACATAGCAGGGGGGTTGAAACTAGATGATCATTGTGGTCCTTTTCAACCCAGGCCATTCTATGATTCTACGATCATTAGGATGTTACTTTTAGTTCCCCCAGCACTACTTTTCAAAAGGCTGGTGAGTGATCGTGGAATGCAGGTTTAAAACAATAGATCAAAAAGCTTACAACTAGACTGTTCTTACTTTACTGTTCATTACTCTAGAAGTCCATTTCATCCTTTCCAGTAACAAATACTTAATCTTTTGTTGATAAAGCTAGCCTAAACAAAGTATCACTGGCCATACACAAATACAGGAACAGTTAGAATATAACTTATATACCTATTTTGAGAAAGCATACAATAGATTCATAGATGAGAAGCTGTATTTCTGTACGGACTCATTGAAGGCTTTAACTTGACTAACTTGGTATGAATGGATATATGCTAACCGTGCATGGAAAGCAAACAGTGTGCAACTGTTCAGGCTTTATAACTCCTTCCAATCCGGTAGAGAAAAACAGTAAGAAAAGTAGACACTGAGAAATTCGATGTATGTTTTAACAATGCCTGTATTCTGACATGTATGTAAATACCCAAAATCTGTTTATAGGCTCTTTTTAATTAGATGTCCAAACCGCAACAATGAAGGACGGAGCCGCAGCTGCATTTCATTCTCAATTTCTGCATTATTTTCTGTTGCTAAAGATAGGCTCAATCCCCACGTGGAACTTGTAGGTTAACATAAGGATATGTTAGAATTGGAATGAAAATGCCAAATTTAAAATCAGGCTTTACAACATTCAAAAGTACTCCAAAATTTTTAAGGAAATACATTACCCTATTTCTGTAAGTGCTCTGTCGTAACCAGTTACCAAACAATCCATCCTGATTGTTTCAAGATATCTACTTAATCCTTCAGCTCAAATTATTTGTAAGACTTTTGGCTTTTACCCAAAATATACATAAAAATATTTTTATTAAAACTGAACAATGCATCTTCACCTAGAGAGCATCCAATATTCCAAGAGCTAACATATGTCTCAAAGATATATATCACCACCACACAAACAACATCGTGTATTATTTTTCCATTCCTTCTTGCAAGTATGAAATTCTCCACATACTCTGTGTCAGCAGTACCCCCTGGACTTGTAGTATGGAGGTATTATCTACATATATTTTCATCTGTAGCGCGTGACAAAACCTGTAAAATGATCTCATTTTGGAATTAAGTACAATACTGTTGTTTTGAGAATAGTGAAATTAACCAACTATTTATCTTCCTTCTAGTAGCATGACAGAACACAACAGCTAATGGAGCTGTTATAGCAAAATTATAGCCTCTCAATTGACATGCAAACCAAAGCACTGGAATTGTCATATATGTATTGTATTTAATGAATTTTGGAAAAAAGAAACACAGCTGCTTTACATATAACAATGTCTACCAATCGTGAAAAATACCTCTTACAGAAGTAAGCAAATAAAATATAAAAATAATTAGAGCTGTTTTCTTACACTGCAACACAATAGAGTTGAAACACAAAGGGTAATGATGGGGAGGAACAAATATTCTCAACAATGAATTTTTAAGAATCAATGCCTTATGACAGCGAATTTTGGAGTTCCATCATGCCACGTGTACCATGTGCAGAGTGCTTTCAATCCACACCTAAGTGGGATGAAGATCTGACTTGATTTCAGAACAAGTAATGACCTGAACTTCTATTTGGAAAAGCTAGTTTGTCGTCATCAAATTGAGAATTCTTCTACAGTCCAATCCTAGCAATGATCAGCAAACAAAAGCCACTCCAAGTAAAGTTTTTTCCTTGAGGTGCACGCCTGGATTCAACTCCTTTAAGCACCCAATGATTTTCCACTGGCTATAAGAGCAAGTTCAAGGGAGCAAAACAGTGATAGGCACAGGCTTATACACCTTCTTGAACAGGCCACAGAAAATATCTGATATTTAGAGACTTCTGCTTTCCTTTAGTTACACAATAAAAATCCAGGAGAGACATATTAAATGTCTCTTTAAACCTGATAACATCTGAAAAACCTGATAACATTTATTAAACTTGATAAGATTTGAAGTTTTCTACTCAGGTACAATTTTCCTTATAAATCAATCCACTCTGAAAGTCTCTCTCATTAAGTACTAGTTGATCAAGAATGTGGCTGTATTAAACTGTATGCTGCTTTGGACAATAAGCTTTCCAAAAGGAAACCACATTTTTAATGATCTATAGCAATCTGAGTACTGAAAACCTAGGACCCGATTCTGCTTTACATTCAACAGCACTATAAATAAATAGAATAATTCATAAGCCTATTACATGAATTGAACATGCAGTGAATGCCTTCAACCTAGTAAGCTACATATGGCAGCTCTTGACTATATGTGGGACTTTTTGCCAGTACAATCTGGTGTATGTACACTTCATTAAAAATACTGAAGGAATCATCACTACTGCACTGTGATTCCTAAGAAGTACTGGATGCTGCCCATCTTCATGAAGACCAAGAGCATTCATCACAGTGCAGGACTATGCTCATTAACAATCATGAAAAAAGCCAGAAATGTTTTTTAAAGTGCTAAGATAAGACTTGCTAACTTAGCAGGTGTAAGGTCACAAATCATGTGCACAGTGAGAACATCAACTAAAAATTACAGGTGAATTACTTGTTTCAAATTCCCAGATGATCTCATTGGTGCTTGAATTTAATTTTTGTTGTTATGGATGTACTATGCAGGTAGGTTTGTACTGAAACCTAGTCTTCTTAATACTTTTTCATCTAAAGTAGTAGAATTCAGTAGTGCAATCTAGAAAAAAATGGTCCGTTGGAACTCCAACTGAACTCCAACAGAATTCAAAATTAGAACTTAATTTTAATTAGCTGATTTTACATAAATCATTCATTTTCATTACATGAACTGAATAATTTATGCATCTAAATAAACAAATGCAATATTTATGCAATCAGACTGCAAAAAGTGGTAGGCTGTTATCAAAACCAAACACAAGATCCATCCAAAGACAACACACAATGAAATTAAAGACATTCTAGCACCTCAGAAATACCCACAGTGCTGTTACAGATGTAATCTACCACAATCCTTAATATTTAATTTCCTTAATAGAAAAAAGCAAGACTTTCATCCAAATACAGGTTACTGCCAAGTCTCATTCTGATTTGAAAGAAGCACCTAAAACACCACAGGATTTCAAAAGGAATACTGATTCCATGTTGATCAATATTATGACCAACATTCTTCATATTCAGCCTCAGCAGAGTTAAAAATCCAAGGAAACAAACTACCAGTTTTACGCTGTACTCATTACATCTAATACAATTATATGTTGCCTTGAATGAAAGCAGACAAAAAGTAGTTATATTTGGAACAAGCATTAATTTTAGAAGCATTTAAATTGCAAGATTTAACCCTACAGCCAAATCCATCCTCTGGAACAACACT